AAGGAAATTAATTCATTTCATACTATCAGACAATCATTTTGCAAATATTGAAATCACAAATTTGATTGAAAATTGCCATCATTTGCAAGAATTACATTTGGCTTATTATAGACACCCATTAACTAATCTGTTCTGTAATCTCAACGAAGGCTTATCTAAACTATCGTTAATTGAATGCTTCAGAACTAATTTGGATTCAATGAAAGCGTTGGTCTACGGAAAGGCAATCAACATAACACAAGTCATTGTCTTTGGAGTTCCCACTTATGACGAGAATATTCTCATTGAATTCATATGCCTTAAAATGCCTCAATTGAACAAACTTTTGTATGCATTTGATTCACCTGTAAGTTAACACTACTATACTGTATATTAATTCAAATTCTTAACATTATGGTTGTTTTTTATTTAATAATCACATGAGATATGCTATGTTTTCAGGTGCCATACATTAAGCCAATTGAGTACTTAAATAATTTGCAACACTTGGGTCTACTATCAAACGATGAATACGGTATCGACATATCGTCGTTATTAACCAAAACACTGCCAAATGTCAAGACTCTTGAACTCAATTTTCATTGCGATCCCTATATGTTACGCAATTTGGATGATATCTTCCCTAATGTCGAGTCTCTGGAGTTAAGTTTCGACAGAATATGTTGTAATTGTGAGCCAAACTCTAATCTCAATCAAAACCCATTAAATGATAACAATAACGCAAATCCTATGAATCCTAATAATGGCAACAATAATATCGATGATCTCAATGATGACGAGCCATATATGGACGACAATTGTATGATATGTAGCGAGAAATGTGTGCTAATTATGTCTAAATTGGATAAATTGCGGTCACTTTCGATGAACGGCGAAAGGATTAAAGAAAGCGCTCTCAAAGCCATTGAATGTTGCGATAAAATTAATACAATTTCTATTGACTCTAATTGTAAAGAATTGAATATAAAAATATTGCTTAATTCGTGTATTTGTTTGGCACAAAAACATGCAAAACAATTAATAACTTTAAAAGTAAGCGATAACTATATATCACACATTAATAATGTTAATGAATTTCCAAATAATTTGAGAATATTATTGCATTAATTAAATGAAGTGCCGATTAATAGGTTGTGATATAGAGTATAATAAAGTATCATATGATTACAATATCGCTAAAATTAATGGATTAAATCCTAGATTCATTACATATTATAAGTATTATCTTCCGATAATATTTATCATAACATAATTATGATAAAAGATTTAATGTTTTAAAGCATACAATTGAGTAAATTATGTAATATTTCATAAAGAAATGATTTAAGGATTTTATTGATTTAGATTCATATGTTTAAAGTTATTTATAATAAATTATCAAAAATTACAAAATTTTAATTATTATTTGAATCTTTAAGTATATCTTTCCTCCATTTGGCAAAACCTTTCCAACCGATACACCATTCGTATGAATTCGGATATTTGAATGTCTTGTCGTTGGCCAACACATCGGCCGCCAAATAAGGCCAGTGAGGGTTGTTTAGGAACGCACGGCCTATGAATATGAGTGTCGCCGCGTTTTCCTGTAATATTTTCTCCGCAAACAATGGATCAGTGATTTTGCCGACGGCTGCCGTCGCTATTCCGGCCTCTTTCTGCACTTTTGTCGCACCCTTTAATTGAACTTCATTTGTGTTCAACGGGTGGTAATCAACGTTTGAAATAATACCACCGGAACTGCAATCAACAAAATCGAGTCCAAGTTTTTTCAGTTGTTTAGCGAATTCAACGGTTTGGCTGATATCCCATCCGTTCTCCGCATAATCAGTGACCGAAACTCTGGCGCCGATTACGATGTTTTGCGGCAAAGCTTTTCTCACATTTTCGGCGATCTCTAAACCCAATCGCATCCTATTCTCGAGACTTCCGCCATATTTATCGGTCCTTTTGTTAGTGACGGGCGATAGGAAAGTGCTCACTAAATATCCATGTGCGAAGTGGAATTCAATTACCTGTTATATAAGCATTTTAATTAATATATTGTCAAATAATTGTTATAAAAATAATTACCTCAAAGCCTGCTTTTACAGCCCTTTCACAGGCGGATACAAATGATCGCTTAATTTCCTCAATGTCTTCAATAGTGGCCGCTTTGGGCACTTTTGTCACTCCGTCGCCAAACGCTATAGCGCTCGGACCCACTGTAGGCCAACCGCCATCTTTGTCATCGATGGAGTCCTTGCCTCTCCAGGGCGCCACTGTACTCGCCTTACGGCCCGCGTGTGCGATCTGAATGCCGGCCACACATCCCTGAGCCTTCAGAAACGACGTGACTCTCTTCCACGGCTCGATTTGTTCGTCGTTCCAAAGGCCGGGACATCCGGGAGATATTCTGCCCCTCGGCTCCACTCCCGTCGCTTCGACCACAACGAGTCCGGCGCCTCCCGTCGCGAACGACCCGTAATTAACTAAATGCCAGTCATTGACGATCCCATCCTTACACACGTATTGACACATCGGAGACACAACTATTCGGTTCTTTAGAGTCACGCCTCGTATAGTGAGCGGCGAGAAAAGGAGCGATTGCTTTGAGACACTCATTGTTCAACTGATTCTCTCGTATTCTGTACTTAACACTGAATTTGTATTTTTCAGATTCTTTATGATTATTTAAAAAACTCTTTCGTGCTTTTTATACAATTTTAATTCCCTTATCATAATATTATACAAGTATTTTTTGGTCACATTTTCGTAATATATTGCATATAAATTGATAATTACTATAGTATAGAGTTGTCATATCATTGATTAGTGCATAAGTAGTGCTATTCCAGTGCATTGTGTAATAATTTCAAGGAGCAAAGTGTGTATAAAGTTAGTCACATATTAGGCACGTCTGTCATTGAATAGTATATAATTGTAAAAGTTTTAACACTGTGTCTATTTAACAGTTGATTTTGTTTATGATTTAAGTTTTGTAAATTACCAAAATTATATATTTTATTAATTAAATTCATTCAAAAATCATTAAATAAATTTAAACATAAAATCTTACATTCTTTGAAATTCGACGACATATTAATGCTAATTAATTTTTATATTTAAATTAATATTTCATGTTTCTAAATAAACTCGTCCATTTATAATTATAAACTGAATAAATTGTCTAGTTAAACTAATGGAAATTTCATTTTAAAAATACTGAAAATTGGATTTAAAATTATAAGTTTTTAACAAAAAACAAAACAAAAAATTGTTATAATTATTAATTAAATGTTTAGTGAATGTATTCATATATTACTGTTAGTATAGATAAAGTCATGTAATAAAACGGGTATTCAGTGTTCATATAATTAATTCAATAATAAAATTAATAAAAATATATCTCTAAAAACGAATAAAAGAAAAGTTGTGACAATTTATGAAGAAATTATTGACAGATATTTCACTCATGTCTTGTTCCCAGTCTTTATTACTACCGATGAGAGTAATGCCACGGATTTGTCTCAATCCAGACAATGATATCAACAACTTGTCGCTCATATTCACGTACTCGACGTCCAAATACTGAAGTTTTGGTAAATTGTGGCCAATATTAGCGAAGAATGTGTCCGTCAAGTGATCGAAAAAAACGGTTCTTATTTGCAAATGAGTTAATCGTTTCAATGGCGAGAATAAATCGCTTGTAATCCCTGTCGGGATAAGTTGGGTCAACACTTCCAGTCGCGTTATTCCCCGAAAGTGTTTAGTAATCGTATGAATCAATTCTGGTGTCAATTCATAGACAGTAACGTCAAGTCTCTTCAGACGCCGACAATTGATACTAATCTTTGGGTACAAAGGGATCAAGTCTTCAAATGAAATATAATTGGTCTGAAGGTAGAGGTCAACCAATGCCCGCATTCGCGGCAAAGTATTGGTCAGAGTTTTGACGGTTTGGGGTATACATTGGCTATCGTGCGGCTTAAATATATGCAAGTCAAATGTCTTCATTTGGTGCCCGTATTGACTGACCAACACTTCCAATAGATTCATGTCTTCCGCAGAAAATTCCAGACATAATCCAATACTATTGAGTCGTTTAAACGGCACAAGCATTTCGGTCACCGATTGTAAGGATAGGTTTGGTATTGGATAGGAATGGACTTCAATTGATTGCAAATTCACACACATTTGCAGCCATTTCTCGATTGACTTTTTGTCCACACTTTCACTGAATGACAAAACATTTAATGTTTTCAATTGTGGACCAAATTTAGTAAAAAACTTATCAATCGTTTCGACACTACTGTCACTGAAGTCGATGCGAATGTCTGTCAATTGAGAGCAATGTTTGATCATTAGATCAATGGTTTTCTCTTCGGGACGACAACCATATGGCAAATGAATGGATGAAATATTCGGACATTTCTTCACAATTGTCTCAAATATACGCCAATTGTCTTCAATTAAAGGCTTCAATTTGTGTCCAATTATCTCCGTTTGACTCTTGAGGACAACTCTTTGCCACTGTTTTGAAATGCATTCAAATCTGAATTTGTCTTCGAGTGAGAGATAAGACAACAACTCTTCGCACAAATCATCACCGAATCGATCCAAAG